TGCGTGCTTCAGCTGATATTGCCTATGTGCCTGCTCAACCTTTGATCCTTCATCCACACCCTTGAAAGCCCCAGGCCGCAAAGCTGAATGATCGAATCTGGGGACTCATTGCGAGGCACTCTTTGATTTACCAGTGCTTGGAAGTGTCTGGCCTGACTTATTTTGGGGCTCCACCCTGTAGAAGGGCCGTCTCCAAGAAATGTTAAAAGCACTCCAAATCAAGCTTAGGTACCAGACATTCTTCACCTGTCCTGCGCATCGCGCGCCGTACACTCGCCAAAGGCTTGACTGAAGGGTTTTGGGGACAAGGTCTTACCCTTGATGCGGGGGACTTCGGACAGTGTAGGCTTTTTAAAGCTAATCTAGACAAGTACAGTGCGTTATATAGGAGCCATGGACCGTCATACTCGTTAGCAAATTGCTTCTGGGTCTTTGAATTCCTTAGTTGTATCAACAATTGACGCACTGAAGCTCAAGGAGCTCGCCTTGCATTTCCTGGAGATGGCAAATTCTACGCGACATCTCAGGCCAGAGCACTGTAGGATAGTGTAGAGCTCAGAGCAGACAGTTTTCGTCAGTGTGCTGTCAAACGAAGAGAAGGAAGACAGGCATTCACCGTAGAAGAGTGCAGAATACAGACCTCTGACGAATGTAGATTCCTTCCGCTTGCAAGAGCATGTAGTCCATTTCAGCAGCTGTTGTCCTTCCCTGTCACCCTTCGAGGTACCAATGGATAAAGATTTGGAGACACAGCCCTGCGGGAAGTGGTTATTTGATGCCAAATTGCGCCGACGTCATGTTGGTGAAGCACTTTGAGAGCAACTTGGCTGATGGAGCAGGTCGTGGAAAACCAAAGACGTATGGCCGTAAGGCAGCACCTCCGGGCTTTGCAGAGGGGGGTTTGGCGGGGGTGGCAGTACCTCTAGCCCCTCATCGGGATGAGAATAAAAAACCAACCAATCTCATCTCAACAAAGTAGTTGAATAATCCCCCTTGGAACCCTGTGAATCTCCTGGCGCTGAGGGGGTATTATTTGATGAAGCTTGCTGCAACCCAAGGTATGAAATGTCTTGTTGAAGGATTCCGGCGATGGTGGAACTACGTGCCTGGAAGGTTGATGCAGCTGGTCCAGGGCATGGTCGCGGATCTGCTTTCTGCAAGGCATCTCAATTATGGCCTGCTCCGTAGTCTGGAAGACTTCGCAAGGTTTGGTACCGAAGCTGTCCGCCGATGCATGGCGCGTGCCGTTGTAAAGCTGATGCAGTCAGAGAGCATTGATGCAAATGATTTTTTCCGTTTCCTACACTGTGTGCGGTACAACTTGGGCCGGCATGAGCCGGAAGTTGTTAAGGCGTTGCTTCATAAGCTGGATATGTCTTTGCGGACTGCAAACGATGCAAAACTGCAAGAGGCCTATTTTTCCAATTTGCAGGCAATCTTGAAAGCACGGCCGTCGCCTGGAAAGCGGTATCCATTCGTGTGGGTCTGCCTGAATTACCATATGCGCCAGGCGCCAAAAGATGCCAAGCAGCTTGTGAGGCGAATGTGGCTTCTGTTGGGTGATACATGGTCACGAAGAGCATGCGCTGAAAATCCGCAGCCTGCTTATCACTACTGTCCATCAATGAGATGTGTTCTGCATCCGTGCGAGCACTTCGCGCTGAAACGATACCAGGCGGTATTTTGGGATGTGGTTGACTTCTTCGATTCGTAAGCAGTTTTTGAGGGGCCTGAAAGTACAGCCCAGGAAAACATGGTTGCGAAAAATGCGTCAATGGCGGCTCCTGGCTCAGAATTTCGGACGCTCAGACAGGTCTCACTACTGGTGCAATGGGAGGTTGCATGTACGCTACGTATTAAGCACCACGTGTCTACCTACAACTCTACATATAGTATACTACGTGGCACATATGTATGTACTACTTGCGCTAGGAGCTATTTACGCAATGTACTATAAGATGCATACTGTACGTATATGAGGCAAAAAGTAGACAATACAAAGGGTGAGCCCCCGAAATTGGTATCCTTGCTATGTCTTATCGCCTATAGGCCCTAAACCCTGAGCCACTTGGTCACTCTTCGGATCTGCTGAGGCTGTATTTGCTGGATCTGGGGCGCTTTTGAGCCGCGATTTTCGCTCCCTGCAAGGGCCACTTCGAGTTTAGAGTTTAGGGTCTAGGCTTAGGATTTCGGGTTTAGGGTGCATGTAGGGCTTAGGTGTTTGTCTTTGAGCAGCCGGATCGGAAGTTGAACTTTCCTTTGAGGCTTCGGCTGCAGTATTGCAAACAACGGAGCAACAATACTATGGGAAGCACGACTGTCAACGTGAGAAACATAGAAGCCGGAATAACCGGAGAGGTCATCTTTCTACGGTCCTTGCACAACTACGGCATAATCAACCCCAAACTCTACTCCACATATTTCATCAGCAAAAGTTGTCACAACAAAGTGTATGAGGTTGATTCTCCCGAAACATAGCACTCACAGGGATGGGGACCCCCCTTACGTAGATGCATTATTTTCTGATGCCCCCATGCCCTTGCCCGTAATCAGGCCCTAATCATTAAAGAAACCTGGCAGTTACCCCCGACGAAGCTGACCCGAGGATGACGGAAAGCGCCGGGAGGGCAGCTTGAGTATTGCTGGGGCCTCATGGTCATGGGATTCAGAGTTAGCATGATGGGCTCCTAGAGCAAACTTACGTCGAAGGTGTTCAGGTTTGCCAAGCTTTTCGAATTTGTGTCTTCACGGCTTCGTGGCACCCAACTCTTTGCCCAGGTCACCACCACCCGAGAGCGCAATTTCAGCGGGAGGTTGCTAGCCATCGTAGGTTTGCATCTCTGAGATCCATATTGTGTAGGAGTCCGAAAGTGGCCTGCAATCCCACCTACCAACTGGTGCTACAGAATCCACACTGACACAGAACTCGGGAAAGTTTGGCATGACTTCAAAATACCTTTATTGCAGTTGCGTGACCGGTACTTTGCGTGTTGGATTTCAGGGGAAGAGCATGCGGTCCTTGTTGGTCTGATGTCCCGTCCGCCGGCAGGCTTTAGATAATGTCTTCGACGACTCTTCCCGACCCAAGAAATCTAGAAACCTTGAGCGCCATTTCTCCAGGAATTCCTTGCATACCCCAGAAAGCAGGTCGTGTCCCGGGCATTGTATTGGGGAGACGTAACAATCCACTGATTTGGCCCAGAAACTATAGAAAGGACCGCCGAGAAACAGGCCTCTAGATCCTAAACCTTGCAACCAGAATCCGTTAAAAAAGAGAGGAAAAGAGAGAGAGAGAGAGAGAGAGACCCTATTAGCGCTGCCTGACATGGGTGTGGGGCTGGGCCCTAGGGCAGCCGTAGGGCTGTCCATCACCCTCAAAGAAAGAAAGAAAGAAAGAGACCCTATTAAGCAAATTCCCTAACTGACACTCGGCAGGCTGACTGCAATCACAGTGGCAGCCGGGTCTGTGAGGACTTCTCCGGACACAAAAGGCAGGATGCAGCCAGGTTTGTCTAAGGGTAGTTTGGCCCCTCTTCACTTTCATCTTCCAGTAGGACTCGAGGATGCCGGTAAGTCCGTATCGCATCAGCCTCTGTATCCTGGTCCCTGTTCGGAAGGCTGCAAACAGACCATTGCGTATCCCCAAATCAACATGCAAGATCACAAAAGTTAAGCCCCAAAACGCATTCACATTCCTCGCCGCTGGTGCATGACTGCAGGCTTCAATCGCCTTGCCGCCATGACGAGAGCCTCCAGAAGAGAACAACATGCGTGTGGATAAAGTGTTGACTTTCCTCAGTATGGCTGCACATAAAGTTGTAGGCTGTTGGGTTAAACCGTGTCTAGGGAGTTTTGCGGTGCTTGTTATTGTTCGTGATGAAAGGGCTACCGTGCTCAAATGGAAGATGCAAGTGATTTCCCTCCTCGTCCTAGACTTAAATGGCTGTTTAGGGTTGGAGGATGCTGGGGTTTGGGTTTCAAGGTTTGGGCTAGATTCATATCCCCAAAAGGAACCCCTACATAGTCCGTTATAGAGTACATCAATTCTTTAACCCTATCTTACTCAGTGGCTCATAGGGGATTGAGATTTAGATGTAGGGCTTAAGGTTGGCAGTTCTGAGGGCTGTGGGGATTCGCTCAGCAATTCAGATTTGCTTTGCACGTCCGGGTGTTTAGGGTGTAAGATAGAGTTTTAGGATTTCGAATTTGTGGGTTTAGGATTGGACTTGAATTAGGGGGTTGTGGCCTTATAGATGTTCAGCAATGAAAGCAGGCACGGTGAACGAATGATACAGTTGGCAACCTCTTTCTATTTACGACGACTTCCGTACCCGGAAGATGCATACCGTTGATGTTCAAAAACCGTTGCAGGATTTGGCTTAGTAAGTTGTGCAGAAGCTTGCCAGGGAGTCGATTTAATTATGCTGCCCTCAACCCGCCAAATCCTAGCTCGACCCTAGTTACACGTCCCAAGGCCCTAGCTGATACCGTTCAGTGTTCGCGGCACAGGAGGACACTACTACATGGAAGCTTTAAATCTTTGGCCACACCCAGCTGGCCCAATACCCTCCTAGACACCTCTCACCCTGATAGAACCCTCCGCCACGGCAATGAGCCATGCATGCGGCCTATGCGGCTCCGAGCTGGTGGTGGGGCGGTTCGTTGTCTGCCCGAGGGAGTGCACAGAAGTGCTTTGCCGCGCGTGCGCGTTGAAGGCCGTCGCCCTTGAAGGGTTTTTATGGTTTTGTATCGTATCCATGGTTTCTATGGTTTCTTACGGTTTCTATGGTTTGTTGCGATTTCTCACAGTTTCTATGGTTGCTGTGGTTTGTATGGTTGTTAGAGTTTCCATGTTTGCTGTGTTGTTTCAACTTTATGCTTGCCAGGGTTTTGTGGCTTGTATGGCTCTTATGGTTCTAACTAGTTTCCATTGTTTCTGTTGCTTCTATTGTTTCTATGGTTTATGGTTCTTGGACCTCCACTCTATTATTTCCCTGAAGGTCTTCATCGACCGACATCCTGGACAGCAGTTTCCCAAATGCCCATGGTGTCGGCGTGCACTGAGCGCGGCAAGGTGGGCTCGGTACAGCAGGGGGTAAAGCAGGCGTTTTGGAATGCTACAAGCCTCATCTGGCAAACGCAGAAAGGTTCATGTTGCATTGCGAGCCATAGCTTCTGTGGTTTCCATTGTGGCTTCAACAGCTGCCATGGGTTCTTGATGGCGCTATGGCCTTTAAAGTTTCTATGTCTTTTTTATGGACTGTACGGTGTCTATGGCTTTTGGGGCTTCTGTGGCTTCTTACGATGTCCATGCTTGCTGTGGTTTCTAGGGCTTCCATGTTTCTATGGCGCTTGTGGTTTCTACGGTCTTTTTATGGCTTCTATGGTTTCTAGTTTTTTCTAGGGATTCTATGGTTTCTTACAATTTCCATTTTTGCTGTGGTTTCTATGGTTCTTCTGGGCTGTGTGTTTTCTGTGGTTGCAGTGGCTTCTTCAATTTGACTGGTGTATATTGTTGTCATGCTTTGCAAAAAGTTTCTATTGCATCCGTTGTTTGTTGCGGCTCCTCTGGTTTCTATGGCTTATCTGGCTCTTTAGTTTTACGGCTCCTCTGGTCATGGGATGTTGTTGCGAATCGACGTTTTTATTCTCTGTTCGTCAGATTGGTCTCCTACTGAACCCCTCAACCCCTGAACCCTTTTCAAAACGCCACCCGGACCACCAAAAAACAAGAAGGCAAAACAAGGTAACCACAAAATCTTCATGTGTACTCGGGTTTGGGCATCCATGTTCTAGTTTGGCGAATGGACTTTACTCTGGCTTGGCCACCTTGCCACTATGGGAAACACTCAAATTGAAAGAAGTTGTTCATGGAAAACTTGCAACTTGCAAGTTTCAGAATCCTGACAGTCTGCCAAGTCTGCCACGTTTAATGTATTTCCAGATGGAAGCAGTCTATTCTTTCTGGCGGTTGCAACTGCTGCGGTCTCATGTCTGCCTACGCGCAGATGTTGGCGGAAGACGCCCACCGAGCTGTGGAGTGTCTTTTCGCAACAGTCTTTGCATCTGGGCTTGATTTACAACACGGAGTCTCACAACTGCACTTGCTCCCTTTTGTAATGCAAGGCTAGTTGAAACGCAGGCATCTGCAGGACTAGAGGTTTTGCTTGTCTTGTTATGTTGCGCGCTTAAGCAAGACTGGGGCTGTGCTTGAACAACACAACAAACAAGGTGCCTCTCCACGGCGTGCCCAGTGCCACACCTGCTGCTGCACCACAGCACTGCGTCACTCGGAGGCGCCTGCGTGCTGTTACCTGCCTTGGCTGTATCTTGGGGCTTGGGATCGTTTACTCCGAGTTCGTCCAAATCATAGCATGAAGCCAAAATCTCCCTTCAGGATGCCGTGATGTATGTGTGGAACAAATATCAACATATTCTAGGACTAGGGTTTAGAGACGGGTTAGCAACGAAGGATTTGTAAATCTTGCAGAAACTGTGTCATCAGACACCCTAAACTAACGGCATCCATGGCTTCTGATTTTTTCAAGCTCTACAAATTATGGCCCTAAATCATTCCGTACATGTGCCTGGGTTTCAGGTATCCCTCCTATACAAAACCAAGAGACAACAACAACGACTAGGATGACAAAGCACACTAATCATAATTACACAGCTCCGACCCTTGAGCAGTCCCGGGGCTTGGGGCTAACCAAGCCCCAGCCTGGAGTTTGACATCATGCCGGGCAAAACAAACCTGGTAAGCGGGCAGCAGGCAGCAACAAAAACACATAGTAATCAATCTTGGACAAAATGTTGTTGTAGTACGCTTTTATAACATGACCTCAGACGCAGTCAACATGAGTCCGTTCAACACATACACTTCACTGTTCCACATATGCATCATGACATTCTGAGCAGAGATTTGTTGGTTTCCGCACCCACTCGAGCTAAGCGGATCCGTGACCCAAGAGTACCACCAAGTTATGCAACGATGCGAAAATGCCACGGTCATAGGCATTCATATCTGAATCCGTGCGCCTTTGCAGCTTTAGCATCATTCTCGACTTTTCCATAGCCATAGCCATAGCCATAGCTCCGAAAAAATGGCTTTGCGAGGCCGTCACAGACGCAGAAGGTTCGGATGCTCCGTCCCTCCCATGAGCAGGTGGGAATCGCGCGCTGTGTTGATGTAAACGTAGACCTGCAGCAAAGCCGTTTCATGACATTCCGAGGAGGAGTTGCTTTAAGTGTGAAATGTTGTTTTCGAAGAAACTTTCGCGTGAAAAGATGATTGGTGCGAAGTTTCATAGGCAATCCAGACATGCTAGCAATTGATTTGTAAGCGAAATTCAGGAGATCAACCTGGTTATCAGTACATAACACGGTTTTGACGTCAACAAGCCATGATTGTTGCGCCCTGCATCCAGCTCGAGAACCTCGTCAGCGCCAAGGTGCGACTGGAACGGGCGCACCCTGGCTGGTATGGTTGACATCGTGAAGTGCCTAAGAAGTGAAATTCCAAGAAAAATGATTTTTGATTTATGACTTGAAAGCGTGGCAGGCATATGCGAGCAGTAAAGCGTTGGATGTTCGAGGCCATGGCAGTTTTCACCCTTACACGAAGACTTCACACATGTTCTCAAATTCTTGCAATTTCAGCCGTCCAGAAGCCACGCAGCCAACAGCGCAAAAAACACAGCTTGCTCAGGAGCAAAGCCACATCGTCCAGATTTGTGGCCAGCAGACAGAAGCACACAGCTCCTAAGCTTCTGTAGGCAGTCACGCCGGAACTAATTTCACGTGCTTGTGGAAAGTGGGATTGTGTAAAGCCGCTTCATATTCGGTCCCTGGTCCATGTATTTGTTCTGCGCGCATTCCATGTTTTCAACCTATCCAGGCCGGATCTCGACGACAAGGCGCTAAGCTTAGCGACCGTCCGGAAGGTGGTGAAGGAAAGCCTGGTTTGGTTTAGTTTGACATGTTGGTCCCGTTTTGTGCGAAATGCTGAATGACTTGCTCAACCCATGGCACAGAACAGCTTGAGCACACGCGCAGGTTGGAAAGGCCACGGTAGCTTTCTGGATGAACAGTTCCATAATTCAGGAATGGAGACATTAGACAAACCTTGGTTTAAGTGGGAGCAGCACAGTGGCAGGGCTCAGCGTTTCGGATAAACGCGTAAAGGTCCTGGGCCCCAGTTTGGTTTTCGGATTGGTTCGGGCATTTTTCACTTGCATTCCGGAGCTGCATGGAGATGGAAAGTCAGTGTAGAGGTGGTTGGTTTCCTGACCTGTCACTCCCGAATTCAAAGCCCAGAACTAGCAGTCATGCTTGTACTCCGGCAGGACTCCAGCCGCATGAGTCCTCACGAGGCGTGGACGCGGTAAAGTGAAAGGGTTCCGTGCCAGGTGTCCTGGCAAGATTGTTTCATTCCTCATGCGCGGTGGCCAAACCAGCATGGCATAACTCAAACGCATGGCCCCTCGATGTTAATGTTAGACTGGGCACGTCAGTAATTCTCAGCGATGAACCCTTCATTTGGCCGCTAAATTGTTGAGCTCTCTTTCTTCAGGTCCAAAGATTTGGTGCATGCCAGGTGTGTCAGGGCGAAAGTTCCCCCCGGCGATGGCTGCGCCGAGAAGGCGGCGGCCCACACAATATGGGTCATCGGTATGTGTGTGCAAAATTTGTATGCGTAATGAGGCGAAACGGCGTTGAACATGAGCGTGTGCTCAGATTTGAGCCAGGAGTCTTTAGAAAGTCCAGAATGAGCTGATGGAGTTTCATTAAACGTTACTGCCATGGAAGTGTCACAGGACAGCAGTGCATGAGTATGTGCGCAGAAGCATTTGCATGCATGTGTAGCGGATAGGCTCAGACAGAGACACCCAGCCCACACAGGAAAGGGAGCGGGTGAACCGTGTAGCTAAGCACTATTTTGCCAAGCTTGCCAAAGGGTTCATTTCGTGCTTGCGTGCTGTAGATACCATCCTAATTCGTCCCAATGCCACAGACTAGTTGGGGGCATTTTTGGTGATCCTTGAATTTAAGTTGGTGGAGCTTAAAGTATCACGCCTGTGCTTGTTGGGATTCTAGGTCCCGGGCAGCCTTCTGAAAGGCCGCGCAATGCTGAGAACGTCACTTCCCTTTGTAGCGACATCTCATGCGAGTGGAAGTGGGCTGACATGAAAGCTGTAGAAACGTGTTCTGAATGCCGCCGGCTGCTTTGAAATAGACCTTCAACCTCAGGCACTTGGCTTGCGGTGGCGACGTTGTGGACTGGTGTATCTCCCCCTGGACCGACAAAGGTGCGGTTGGCAAGCCTTGCACTTGATTCTGCCCAGACTCCAGCTTCTGTCCTGCAAGCCTAAGTGTGTACGCGGCTCTGCGCAAGGCTGCCAGCCTCGAAACAGTGGCTACAGAAGCCGCTGGGTGTAGCCAGACGTGCACAAACACTTCAACCCTTCTCTCGTGAATATTGCAATAGACCTCTGACAAAGAAATTAATCGTTAGAACCCAGCTTGTCATGCATGTCTACCTGCGCCCATTGTGAGTAGTGGCAGAACAGGCTGGGACGTGTTTCTTCAGTTCGGTGTGATCATGCTGCTGCGCGAATTTCCGCTGTAACTTTGCATCTGGAAATGTCTGGACACTGATCTGAGTATGCTCAACTGTTATGGTTTGGGTGAGAGAATTTCAAGCTTTTGGAGGCTGCAGCGAGGCTCCAGCGCGGCCCGCGAGCACATGCCACTTGAAGCCATTCTTGATGGAGATATCAGGTTTGAAGGTCTGGTTGCATGGACATGCTAATCCACGTCCTGCGTCACGGTCAATCAGCTCCGTTAGTTGAAAAAGCAGAAGACCAGGAAGAGCAGGGTCCAGTAACCAGGGCCGGTGCATCCATCCACGGGAAACACCTTCAAGACTTCTAGTCTGTTGGCCATGCTCTGAAAAAATCCTAGCAGAAATTCTGCAAGACCTTACTACACGATTCACAATTAGTGCGGCGCAAGGACGGTTTTCAGCTTTTTCTTTGAATAATGAACCATTGTATCCTGAGCAGCGATTTTCACAACACCACATTTACTGGCCTCGAGGCCTACCTGCATGGTAGAACCTGCGAAATTTGTTGCATTCAGGCATTCCAGCAGTGCGGCATTGGCGCAGCCGGGCTGATGGAGGTGCGCAGATTTGTAGGCAGCCATCACTCTTCGAAGCCACCGATGCAGTCGATTGGGCAAACTCTTTGTCTTTATGGACTGGCTGTCGTGTTCAGCATCGTAACTAGTACTTTCTCTCACGCAGGACGAGCCACGTCTTTGTGTGTGAAGAAGGTTGCTGCTTGGGTTGCTGATCGCTCAGTTTGAAACCTTAGCTTGTTTGTTTTCAGCCATTGCCACCTGCTAGCGTACAGGGCCTTGACATGGTGGACTTAGCGTTTGGGTCACGGACTGGCGCCCGTTTCCTGCATCACTAGGCTGACGGTGTTTGGCGGTGGTACCTGGTACTCCTGCGTTCCGGCTGCTCATCCTGATTATTGGGCGCACGGTTTCGCCAGTGGCTAGTTCTGATTTCAGTCAAGGATTGAGGTCAATGCCTTCCAATTTTGCAATTCCATGGTGGCTGCATTGATTGCTGACAGTGTTGGGGTCACAGGGACTGTTCAGGTATGAGAACAGTTCGATGACGCGAGGAATGGGGCAGATGACCAATGTGGAATAAACCCCCACCTGCTCAAAAAAAACGGTCTCCACAAGAGCAACAGATAGATGTGGCAAGGGCCGACGGCGGCCGATTCATGGGCCGATGTTGTGGAGGCTTCGTTTGCGTAATGCGGTCTCGCGAAGTTCTGCCCGTAGCGTGTGCTTGTGCTTTACACAAGGTTTAGGGTTCAGAGTCTATAAGTGATTTAGGGTTTAGGGCCATTTTGAATTTTGGGTAAATAAGGCTATCCGTCACGCCAAGGAATGAAACACGATAGTCACAAAGACGAAAGTCTGCAACGGTTTAAGCCGATGTACACCCCTGCACTATATTCTTGTAGAGCCATTCACAAACTAGGGTCCTGTCTCACCCATACCAGAAGCACACATAACCCGGATGTGGTCCCAAACGTTGTTGGTGATCCTGCTTGCTCAGCACTGCTTGCAGTACTCATATTCCCAGTATTTGCCAGTATGTCTATCATCATTGATGTTTCGTCTCGTCTTCTTGTTCCTGTGGTTACTTTCCATATTCTTCTTCTTGTCATATTCGTTATTCTGTTTAGGTTCCGAAAGTTCACCCACCGTGTTCATGAATGGCATGGGACAGGACGTTTCGTTCAAGAAGTCTCCACTGAATTTCGGTTGGGTACCATCTGGGTGTGCGCAGAGGCATTGCTTTTGGGATGAGTTGAGTTGGGCCTGCTAATCAGCTCTCCTTATTGCTAGCCGCCTTGGTCCATGGTCAGAAGTTCTGCACTCCGGAACCCTAAGACCTGAACCTTAAGCCCATATAGGCATCCGGGATGGATCCGCTTTCATTGGGGCATGGGATGCGTCTGAAGAGCCAGCTGACTGCCCCTTTACGCCGTCGAAACTCCTGGCCCAATGAGCGCATGCCCGCAGCATGCTTCAATATTGACATCTCCAGACACGCAGCCACCAACGTGCCTGCGTAGTGACGGGTAATGTCACGGCCCAGCCTGAACAAGCAAATCTGGGCGGCTTCGGGTCGCAGCCCACGGAAGGGCCCGAGTGGTATGTGTGTGTGTGTATGTATGCATGCATGCATGCATGTATGTATGTATGTATGTATGGATGTATGTATGTATGCATGCATGTATGTATGCATGCATGCATGCATGCATGTATGTATGTATGTATGTACGTATATGCATCTGCATATGTACGTATGTAATGTGTGCGCATACTATTACGCACGTGGTATGCAACGCTATGATGTGGGCATAAGGTGCACAACGTATGTCTAGTGGTGCATTTCGCCTCCATGGCCTGAAATTTGAGAAATGCGAAGAGAGCATTCCAAAATGCTGGGGTTCCGCTGTTTGAGCGTGGCTTTTCCAGGTAGAGGAGGTCCCAGAGGGGGACAATACGAATCTTGTCTGCAATGCAAGCATGATGCGCAGGGGAAGTCAGCTGGATCAGTCAGGCTTTTTCGTCGCCCATACTGCTACACGAGACTAGTGTGGGAATATGGCTGTGTGCCACGTCTTGAAAGTGCACATAGAAAGCCTCGCAAGAACTTCTCACTCCCACCACCTGCCGCTGGTTCATCTTCTTGGCGAGGGTAAAGCTAAACTTGCAACTGTGCAATCAATAGTCGGCGATGATGAAGGACGAATGTGAGTACCATTGTGAGTACAGTAGCTTGCAACGATCGTACT